ATACACGGAAGATACGAACAAAATGTACTTTTGAAATTAGAGCGCTGAACGCCCGAGACATTAGTAATCCTATAGTACAGCGAACGATCGATTCGCGAATGACAAGATCGAAAATCTCAGAAAAAATTACGTTTTCCACACATTTTCGATAAACTTTTGTTTCTTTTAACAAGTTTTATTTCCTCATTTTCAACGAGTTCCATCAGCCTCTATATTATTCTTGCTTTTTATAATACGATAAATAAGTATTAATACCGTCAAGTAGATCACTTCACTGTCCAAATAAATATATCTTTGCTATCATCGAAGATTATGATACTATCAGATTTTATAAAGTAATTACTCTTGAATATGTTATTGTTTCCTTTATCTGAACACATGGACACATTTTATATGATTTTCGTACATAGACGAACGTTTACTGTCGTTCGTAGATTTTCATTTTCTACGACGTTATTAAACGCGTTCGTCTATGAAGAAACTAATTGCATCGAATTATGCTTTCCTCGAAGCAATTTAATTCCCGAGCGAATAAATTTTCAGTACCGTCAACAGTTCTCAAGATATTTTAGCGGTCAGGCTGTGTGCAACCAGCGAAATTGTATTCTCATTTTTGTTCGATCGATCGTTAACCGATTTCCGATCGCAGCATCGAACGAGACTTTGTTTTTCTGAAAATCTTAGTTTCGTTACTTGTGCCATATACCATCCACGAATTCCATCTCCCATTTAAATTAAATTCATCGAGAAAGATCGCCCCGTAGCTTGCGTTACGTCACATTTGCCACACCCCGCATAGATCTCCGATTTATACGATCGACGCGTGCGCAGCTCGGTTCGATTTGACTTTATCGCCGCCCATAAGTTCGATTCAGACTAAACGAAGTTTCACGTTACGTACGGCGGAAAATGTACCGGCGAGCGATTTTCTTCCTGATTTTCGATGATCCACGACCTCGTTATCGCCCCATTGATCGCGTGTACCTCTCAATCGGGCGACGGACGAGCTCAATAGCGGGCTTAGTTAGAAGCGTTTCGCCTCCTTCGCTCCTCCGAAGACCATCGAATCCGACCTGGCCTCTCGAATCGCAGTATTATCGGCTAGACTGTTACGGCAGCGCACGACGACGAGGTCGTTCGTTTAATATGACGAATGCACGTTTCGATGGCGCAAGCCTGAATTTATTACGCGTCGGTAAAATTTAAAAGGATACTCGGGCCCGACTTCTCGCTTCTGGACGGACTAAATTCTTATCTAGATAAAAATCTCCAGCAACGAATGATAACATTTAATGACGTATCGCGTAACAACATTTCGTTGGTTATTGCGTCGCACAATAAGAAAATTTTGTGTTCTCTAACGTTTATTATTATTATTAGTCCTTTATTAAAGGGAAGAAAACCCCTTTAGTGTGAAAGATGTAATATGTAAGGACAAAATATAGATTATACATAGTGGATATTATTGCTTGTAAAATTTTAACAAAATAATTTACAATGCCCTGCAAAGATAATTTTAAACTTTCTAATGATTGTTTAATTATATCTGTTTTTATCTTGGAAATGTTGTAAGATGGCTTTCAGAATAAAATAGAATATGATTTCTTAAATACTTTGATGACATGTACAACAGAAACGATTTATTTTCCTTCTATTATGCAATATTTGAAGATTAGTATTATTGAGTCATCATAATTATGCGAGTCAAGAGTATAGGACAACCACTGTATCTATCGACAAGGCGAAGGTGCTGCACCCTTTCGCTATTATTAATATACGTTTTATAGCATGGAGACCAAATTATACTGCCATATTCTAAACTAGGTCTTGTCAAAGTATAATAGAGAATTTTTAGTGTATTAGTTTTGTTAAAGAATCTGGAAACTCTGTGAATAAGTCGGAGAGTTTAGAGTAACAAGAGGATACAGTAGAGTCTCGGTTTCTAGAGGTGCTTTGAACTTTACGATAGAGATATTTCCTTCTCAAGACATCTATGGAACAGGAGGAACTTATAAGAATAAAGTTATTTTCATATTAAGATTTGAGTTCCATAAAAATGTTTCAAAATAGACAGAAGATCGACAAATTAATTAGCTTCAACCCTAATGATCCTAGATCCTCCTGTTCTGAAGATCGAGACTTCTATATTTACAATTTCTTCAAAAAAGCTGTTAGATTCTCACTGTTTCTTACATTGCTTTTCTAATTTCTTAACCCTAATTTTCACGTTCTTTTATACGTCCATTCTTCCTTATATTTACGAACAAACGTTTTCATCTGTAGATTAGAGAAAAGATGGCGAATGTTATTTTTTGCTTCTATCGCTAACTGTTAATTATATCGAAGGGTTTCGGTAGCAAGCTCACATAAATATATAATACACATATACCTATGTTTTGAACATTCTAAATAAAACCTTGACAAATCGAGAAATTTATTTTCAATCTTCGCTTCTGTCTTTCCTTTTAATTATTTCGTATAATTAAAGGTTTAAACCTACAAGCCTTGAAGTGGCCCCCGTCATAAACCTTAATGATCCAATGTGGCCCGCGTCATAAAAAAGTTACCAACTCCTGCAATAACTTATATAATAATAATATTAATAGGTCTTCGCTACTATATACGTCTAACTCTATATTCGTACGCGTATATGCAAACATACACGTATAGATGGATCATTATTGTACACGTGTATCAATATTTCCTGCCTTTTCTCCCGGTGATAGCTATTGTCATGGTTCTTTTCATCGCTGCTACTGCCATAAGTTTCTATTTTATTCAATTATATCGTATTGTTTACTCGCGTATATTTTCCTCGAATGCAATTAATTTATACAAAAACACGCAAACACTTATGAAACGATCTGATAAAAGTACGAGATACGCCGATGAGAATATAGAAATAACGACCCGAAAACACGACAAACGTTCTCTAGAGTTTCGTTCGAAGCTCACGCTTGCTTACGTTAACAATTATTAAAAAAATTCAGTACATCCGTTGAGTGAACTTATAAGCGAAGAAACTTTCTTCTCGACGCGTTTGCAATTCAATTTTCGGCACGCAGAATGGATCGATTGTAATTTGCTAAAGGGGGATACGATATGCAAGAACTTGTGACAACTTGTATCAACAAAATTTAACGGTTTACACATATTAGCGACGGTGCTGAATGAAATTTTGATGATAAGCTGATTTCTATAAAAATGACACAAAATGGCCACTGTGTGATAGACTAATACGTTTGTGAAATACATAAATCTGAGTTGGCAAAAGCATACGATGCAGTGACTAGAAATAACGACTTCGAAGCCAACAAACGTTGTCTAACATTTTCTCTGAAACTTGTATCCACTTATTACATGTAACAAAACTGAATACTCGTATGGGATTTGTTTAATAATGTTTAAGTATGGAACTTAAAAAGAACTTTCTATCGTTATTTTGCCGTGTACAAATTTTCTTTATGGAATTGGTGTTGCACCATCGATTTTCTATAATCTGTTGAGTTTCTTTACAGACTCAGTATTTGGTCCACGAGCTTTTGATTTTAGTAATGTCTCGAGCACGCTCTGGCAAATTTTATACTAAAGTCTCGTAATATTCTTGCGCGTTAAAATATCACTGTTCTTGCATCCTACGCGACAAGTCAATTAACGACGATGTCGAACGCGTAGCCAATTCTGCAAACTTCTCGCAATATATTTCAGATCACTGTCGCGTTAGAACGTAATATCACATTTTGGTACTGGCATATCCTCAATAGTTTCTCTACAGTTTGTATCTAATTTATCTCTGTACGCTTATTGTTTCATTTTATCATCGATTTCATATAATAGATCAAAAATTGTTTAACACGAGACGAGTGATTTACGTTTCTTCCGACGAAAATTGATTAATTTAAAAAAATTACTTCCTTTAATGCGTCTGTGCATTTCCTACATCATTTTGCAATAATTCTCTAAAATCAGACTTTGTATTATAGAATATTGATTACAAAATCAAGAAATGATTTATAAAACCGATATGTACATAACACTTGCAACATATTTCCGATTTTTTCAACTATTTCAAGAACTGAAACTGATACAACTGTTTTCAACGATTAAAAGTACTTTGATGTCTTTCACTTTGGAAACTGCGACAAACTAGCCTCGATTACGAACGTCAACACTGCACGTTGGCAAAGTTTGTGTTTGTGAGCGTCGATTCGACGAGTTCTCATATGGAGCAAAACTGCTTGCACATAGGAAAATTTATATGGAATAAGATTGATACGATCAAAGATCAAAGATGTCTTATATACACCACTGCATATTTGGTTTTCTTATGTTCTGTAGTTAGACGTTGAATAAAGTGATATTTATTTCGCTGCACGTTGAGAAAAATAGCAGCAACGTTTTACTTAGAAACGTAGAGACTTTCTTCTCGACGCATTCGCGGTTCGATTTTCGACACGCGGCGCGGCCCGATCGGAATCGCGGCGATATCTCGTGCGCGATCGATCGGCGCACGAACTCGGTTATCGAGGCTCGGATCGCCGTTAACGAAGGTTTCACGGTGGATTTTCGAAAAATCGACTCGGACCGCGCGCGCTGCCTCGTTTCCTCGCCCTCTCTCTCTCTCGCCCCGCGCCAGGTTCTCTCTCGCGTCCACCCACACGCGGCAGCGCAACGACGAAACCGGCCGCCGGCTAAGAGAGAGTGTATTTCTCGCTTATTATCCTTTCCTTCGATTTCCTACCGTAAGGAAAAAGAACACGGCTCGGATGGTGGCGTACGTATCGACGATATCGTCGGTGCCCTCGGTGTGACTCACACGCGGCCGTGTTAACGTTGCGCTCCCCCTCGGAGATTTACAGCTCATTACCGATTTCATAGCCCGGAGTCACGAGCGATCGGACGTAACCTCGAAAATCTGGACGACGGCGCGCGTCGTGCCTCCGATCGACGCGCGAAAAACGCGCGGCAAACGAATCTTTGCCACCTCTCGTACTCGTTACCTTTCTTGCCTCCTGGAGCGATCCCGACGACGGATCCTCTTGATCCAACTCGGACGTTTCACAGGTCTACCGTGGACGAACACCGAGTTCGCTCTAAACGAGCACAGACGTAGCTCGAGCGCCGACTATCGAACATCGGCAATCTCGCACGGTTCCGCGAAGCAGATCGATAATAAGAGAGCCGCGTGCCGCGCGGTACACCAACAAAGACCAATATCACGCGGGTCACCAAGGATAAGTCACTGGACCTTAGAGGTGGTCCCGTGGGCGCGCGATATTGCCCCCGCGGTCCTCGGGCGCGTTCGTCACCGGCGACAAACGTAGCATAACACTCGTAGTCCACGCGCGTCTGCACGGCCGACAGCAGGTCCGGCGTCAACCACTCCGCGCTCGTGGAAATGTCAAACGACGACGACGTTGGCTCGGTTCACCGTCGCGCCGGCGGCCGTCGCTCGCGTGGGAGTGTGACATAATACAACGGCCATCCGGGATTTCGAGCCGTGCGTCGATCTAGCCGGTTGTCACGGGTTTCGCGGGTGATTCTCGATCCCGCGTCGATCGAATCCTCTTCCGCTGGCGGCACGACGGACAGCCGGTGTCAACGTGTCGGCTCTTCGGTCCTTTTCCCTCCGTTTGTTGTTTCGATAGCTGACGATGCTCGATAGACACGGGGTAGGTCGGTTATCTAGCGAGATCTCCGTGGTGGTCGGGCGCGTGTGTCCAACTCGGTCGCGGCAGCCGGCACGGCTGACTATCGCGTGTTCCGTGGTGCACGACTCGAGCGCGGACTGAAGTCGAGCACGCCGTGAGGTGAGCGGAGGTGACTTGCGACTCGGCTCGACGCCGCTCGACTCCCCTCGACAGCGCTCGACTCGATTCGGCCCGGGCCGAGCCGGTGGTTCACCAGTGGAGTCCAGTGGCGCCGGCTGGCCTTTCCTACCTTTTCTGCCCGCGGACTCCGCGACTTGCCCCACATTGGCGCCGCTCACACCGATACCAAAACCCCAAAAAGCTCGGACCTGCGATTTTTAACGTTTAAAATAATAGCACCGAGCGCAATAAAACGGACAAATATCCTGGCCTTAACCGTTCCCGGTTGCATGCGTCACGCCTAACGCACGAGTGCCTACCGTGATACGCTCGTGTGCCAGTTTTGATGCACGGTACCTTTTCGGGACGGCTCGCAATCGGTCTGAATTTTTTCTCTTCAGGCTTTCGGTTCAACGCAATTTTTTAACACTTAAAAATGTTCATATACATAATAGTGTCTACTTTAAAGTTTTCGTTCGCATGATCGGAGTTTCTGCCTGGATAAATGAATTTAACCTATACCTATAGCTCATTCATCGAAGCATAGAAGTATCACGATATTTATGAACTTGGAATCTAATTGCGAAAACAATAATTTAGTTAAAAACTAAAAACAACACAGTGTTATAATTTTGTTTATTATTAAAAGAATGAATCATATTCGTTTAAGGATTTTAAAAATGCTAGATCCTACAAATCTTTTTGAAGCGTTTTACTATTGATTTATGAAAAAAAAAAAACGAAAAATAAGTTGTTACAGGCGTGGCGAGCAATTTGATTTGAAAAAAGAGAATTTTATTCGTGTATCTAGAATATCAAAATGTCGCAAATACATGCACCCTTATATTTTTCACGAATTACTTTTCCATTTGAAGTTTGAAGCTTGTCAAACTGAGGAACCAGAACTGTCAAACTAAATAATGATTTACAACTGAATTGTTGCTCGTTAACGTTTTCGATTTCGATTTATCTTTAGTGACTACGTGACTCCTTCGAATCACACATGATTCGATGTTGTTCGATTTCATGTCTTTAGTTTAGGTTTATCTCGGATTGTTTGGGTTATGCGTTGGCGACTTAGCGACGTTAGGGTGGTATATTACACTTTGAAGATTAGATTAAGATTTGTTTATATTACTTGAGATTGATGACTAGATTTGCTTGCATCTGTTACACGAGAATCTCCCCTTAACCATTTGTGGGTCCAATATAATTGATCTATGTAGTATGAAATGATTAAATTTGAAGAAGTTAAGATAAGAATTGGATTTTACACATACACTCCCAGTTAAAACGTTGCTGGACCGATTAAGAAGAGCCATCCAAACGATGCTAAATTTACATCCTCGTAAAGTTCTTGTTCGCGTTTGGTACGATCATCGAAGCATTTTGTATCGTGAATTGAGGCCAAGTAATGAAACTATGACGTTTTATACACAAAGTGAATGGTAGAAGAAGACCTTCCTACGGCCTTACTTTTTTTTTCCAAGTACAACGATGCATCCACAAAATGCAGATGCATTTTTTACGCGAATCGACTCTTTCGAATATTTCGCGTATGAAAGTATCAGGATTTAATGTTAAAAAAATTGAATACTTCGTAAGATATTCTGAGCATTTGCTAAGACCCGTTTTATCAATTCTTTATATTTTGTTGCAGCAGGATCATACATAGTTCAACTATTCTCTCCATTAATCTTGTATTTTAACGTTTAATTAAAATTAAAAATTATTTAGGCTGAGAAATTACAAAACTCAGATAAGTTTGAAAATAAATAATTGGATGAACTATTTTATTAGATGATTAATGATTTATAAAAAATTTCCCATTATTTCATCTTTTACGTGTTGTCGCGTAATTCTACAAAAGGAAGAAGCAACACTTCCGACAGCGTCGAGAAGCCAAAAATAAACGGAACTTATTATTTTGGCCAGCAGTGTATTTTGCAACGCGACCGTTGATCTACTTCCGCGCCGTCGTGAACCGTCTAGCGATTAAAATACACGGTTTTCTTCTTAACATTAAAATATTCAATGCGAAAAAAATCCACGTGTCACAGTGGATTTATTTGAAAGTTAATTTTTCACCCGCGTCTAATCTCGTGCAATCCACGTGCGTCATAGACGACGAGCGTATTGATTAACTACTGTCAGTATTAATCGATCGTGAGCCACGTAGCGAAACAACAAAACGATTCATAAACCTTGAATCAAGATTTTAGATACTTGTAATAATTTTAGAAAATAAATTTGACTAAAATCCAGAGTCACACTGAATTCATAAATATTCACAGCCCTGTTAGTCCTGTTTTGTAACATTGACACAGTCAAAATGACCCATTCGTAATTTCTAATAAAACTTGTAAAAAATTTAGTCGACTGAATTTTTGAAAAATCATAATTTTCACCAAGAGAATAAGTAAACACTTATTTCCACTAGATTATACATTTCTTCGCGTATCTATCGTTTTAATTTCTTTGATAGAAATAAATACACTATAATTGTTGGTAGTTCTAGTGTTAAGTGGATACAAGTTGGTGCAACCAAACGAAAACCAAAATGAAAACCAGTTATTTAAATAGAACAGTATTTACTGTTTAACTATAAACATATTCGCATACTGTATAATATTAAGTGCACGAACGTGTGCGTGTGTGATAATATAAAATCGTAGTTCGATTCGAGTGACTGGTATGCATCATGCTACGTAAATTTCTGGTCGAATAATAGCCGTTCGATATAAAGGAGGTCTAAAAGCCTCTAACGCGCTCCAGGCAGGAGATTGTCCTTTTTGAATTTCCTCGGGGCCCCGTAATGCCGTGTTACATAATTGAAAGCGTAGGAAGCAGATTGATTAACACACACGGGAGGAGAAAGGTCCGCGTTCGTATAGATCGGTGGTGGCTTTTATGCGATTCGCGGCGAAGCGACTCTAGGAGACCACGTGGGTGTCATCGCAAGCGCGCGATAAAAAAAAAAAGAAAAAGAACAATAAAAAAAATCACGGGAGATTATAGACGCTGCAACGTTACAGGCTTCACCGTCTCGGCTTGCAATATACGACCCGTTCCAGCCTCGCCAATATCGCGGAAAGGAAGAACGACGTGACAATAAAACGCGAATTACGATTTCCTCCTCGATCAACTCGTACTAGGACTTTGATCGCGGTCTTTCCTTGCCCATCGCACGACTCACAATTAGTCGGGTTTCCTGGTATCGAAACCCGAATGGTCGCGTCCCTGGGGGAATTCCATTAGGCTACGACTTTGCGGACAATCGAATACAGGTAGATCTCGATCAATACGAGTTCGAATAGCGCGAATTATTAAGCGATATTTTAAGAGGAATATCAAGTACGGGATGAGAACTTGGAATCGAGGATATAAAATAACGATATTTAAGAATTTCTCAATGAAGACATTTCGTATCTTAATGGACAAGAATTAGGACTTTACAGACAATCGAATACAGGTAGATCTCGATCAATACGAGTTCAAATATTACGAATTCTAAAGCGATACCACGTATTTTTACTGGTTCCAACAGTAGTGATTTAGAAGGAAATATTTTAAGAGAAATAACAGATATGGTAAAAGTAACTTGGATTCGAGGACATATAAAATATTTAAGAATTTCTCAAAGAAGACATTTCGTATCTTAATGAACAAGAATTGGAAAACCAATTCGATGGAAGATCGAAGCATGCAAGTTAACAGAGACTCGACCAAAGTATCATACTATGAGTTTATCGTCACATATACGAAGATACGAAGAAGATGCAAGACAAACTCTACGACATTTTCGTTTCCATTGTATCGCGAGTATAAGTTAATAAAACTAAGGATTACGTAGCAAGTGCATTAATGTTCGAGCCCCCCTTGTACGAGGAGGATTTTTTAAAGATTCCGAAGATCTGTAAAAGGCAAGCGACTGTGGTTTTCTCGATCTGTGGCCCCGATCAAGATCACCCGGGGTAATTATAACGCTTTATACATTCCGGCTGTTTCTTGCGTTAACCCACCTGGCTCGCTTTAACGCTCCGTTAACGCTGTACGGTTCGTTACTGAGAACTTTACATCCACGAAAGTAAGAACGGGTCTGGCGCGTTAATTATCGGGAAACACGAGAGCCGCGACAAGCGGCGGCGAATTATAATTCAATTAAAGACTGTGTCACGGAAACGGGGATTCGTTTTTAAGCCCAGCGCGACGTCGAGGCTCGAGTGAAGCGGAACCTTTCCGACAGGGACAACGTCTCCTATTCTTCGGTTGTCGACTTCCTTTCAGCTTGCGCTCCCATTGCCATTGAATCGGAATTCTTCCACAAAGACAATTAAATCGCGAACGAATTTTTACTTTTAACTTTTACTCCACTATCGTATCCGGATCGGAAGAAAGGATAATCTTTTAAAAAGGCCACGAGAAGTTTACAATTTTGAAACATAATAAGTATACGATAAAATAAGACTTCAATTCGATTGGTAGAACCTTTAACCATATTGACAAAAATTAAATAAACTGATAAATTAGAGTCAGATGTACGTTCTTAGTGCTTTTGCAATAGCAACACTGATCAACAGCAAATATTCTCTAGTCGAGCAATCGATTCTCTGTTATGACTCTAATTGGAAAATGAAAGTTAAATTAAAGTATTGAATATTGATTTTTCTAAAACGCAAATTAAAAGTAGAAATTTTGCAACGCTTAAAACGGATCATTTTTCCAAACTTTATCATTTTATATAAATTTAGTACAGATAACAAAATCCATATAATTTCACTAGTTCTGATGACACGTAACAGATTGAAGAAATTTATTTTTGTTCTATCTCGGTGCAAATAAATAGTTTACAAGTTGTTGATCAGTGTAATTAGAGCTCGAGCAAACCAGCGATATAAATGTCGAATAAAATTGAGTCAGTTGATTTGATTTGTTTGTCTTGTCGCTTGAAAATATTTACATTCAGCTTGG